TGGCTTTTGACTAGATGAGTCTGTTCTATCTCGTGCAACTTCCTGAGCATCTTGTGGGATTATGGAGCGATTTACCTGAGCGTTCGGGGAGCAGTTTATGAGTCTGCAGCACACTTTCCTGCTTTGGCTGCCGCTGTGGGATTGTGTTCCCACACTGGGACACGCGGTGGGAAGCGCTCTCGGGAGCCGTGCGATGTACAGCACCCGCACCGCTGCCTTGTTCCCAGACACAGCTGTTTTCCCGCTGTCCGGGCCGGCGGCTGATGACGGGCCCTCCTTGTCCCCGACCCTCGCTGTGCAGCCCCGCGGGTGCCGCCGTGTCCCGGTGCCCTCCGGGCTCTTCCTTTTCGGTTCTCCTGCCCTGGCCCCTCCTCCGAAGGGGCCGGGGCCCTGCGGGCAGGGCTGGGGCGAGGCGGGGCAGGGCCGGCCCCGCCGCTTCCTTAAGGCGAGGACGGGCCGGTCCCGGGCCGGGAGCGAGCGGAGCGCGGGTGGCGGGGCCGAGAGACCCTGTGCCGTCGCCGGGAGGTAGGTGGGGACCTGCAGCCGCCCTGCGCTGCCCTGCCCGGGGCAGAAGAGGCCTCGGGGGCGGCGGGAGGGGGGGTTCGCATTCCGCTGCTTTGTTCACGTGTCTGAAAACTGCTTTGGAAGGAAGGGTCGGTGCCGCGTTTCGGCGGTTGGAGGCGAAAAGGCGGGACGGAGGAGACCTCCCTGGGCATCAGGTAAGGGCTGCGGCACCGCAGGGCAGATGTGCGAGGGCTGGCGGCCAAGCGGGACTCACCGCCCGTCTGTGGATTGTTGGAAGTTTCAGGAGAGATGTTCCAAAGTCTCGGTTGTCTCATGAGTAATCCCTGAGTAGATGTAAAGAGAATGAGTCTCCTGAACCTGCCTTATCTGAGTCCAGAGTCCCGCGGGGAGGGCGGGGGGCGAGGAGCCGCCGCAGCCTTTGCGCAGCTTCCGCCGGGCGCTGCTCCGTGCGGAGGATGGAGCGCGGCTGCTGCTTCCTTCGGAGAGCCTGTGCGGAACCGAGAGCTGGCCCTGCTGAGATCTTAGGCTAAAATAACGGGGGGGAGTGCTGGGGGTGGTGTTCTAGACCATGAATCGGAAATTATTACTACAAAGTATTAAAAGGATGTCATCAATTTTCCTGTCGCTTTGCAAAGTAAATAAAACTTCTCCTTGTTTCACAGAAGAGATCTTTGCGACTGTAGAATAAGCTTTTTGCACAGAATTCAGGTTTAAGGTTCAAAAATAATCCCTGAAACAGCAATGTAAAGTTTCTTCATAATACATGAAGATAAAATATAAAGAAAGGCCTCTTCGTCTGAGAAGTAAAGAATTTCAGACACGAAGGGTGGCTGAAGCAACGCCGGGAGGTACGCGGGGAGCGGTCCCGGTCCCGTTGGCTCTTCCCGGAGAGCCGGGAGCCAAGGCTCTGCCCGGCAATCCCGGGGCCTTGGCTCGGAGAGCGCTCAGGTTTCCCGGCAGCATCAGGGCAGTTCTGTTGTGCTCTCGGCGTTCAGGAGCCTCCTGACCGGGTGTGGAGCATCCGGTGTTCCTCCTGCTGGGCTGGCTCCGGACGAGGTTGGGTGGGAGCGGGGACGACGTGTCTGGAGTTAAACAGTCACTGCTGGGAAAGGAACGGGACCTTTAACAAACGGTCAGCGAGAGCTTCGCCCCTCAGTACAAGACCGTATTTTTGCTGGCACTTGAATACAACATTGGGATGCTTTCCATGCATTTTTTAAACAGTAGTTCTGTTACCAAATGTAGAAAGTGTGACCAGCGGGCTTTGAGTGTCCCGACCGGCGCATTCCAAGCCTAATGATTCACTCCTACAGTTAAACCGAGGCTGCAGGTCTGAAGTTCCGTTGCATATTAGTCTTTCTTGCAATTGCATTGCTGTTTTTTAAAACTTGAGAGAAGGGCTTGAGGTGGTAATGACAAGTAATTAAATGAGGTCACTGGATTTGACGCTCATTTGAGCTGACAGAGCAGAACGGTGTTGCATAGCTGGCAGATTAGCAGTTCTACATGAGATAATAATTCTCCAGGGATTGATACCTGCTGGTAACTGCTGCCTCATTTACCTAACGGGGATTCTGGAGTAGTTCAGACGGGTGGGGGAGTTTAGTACTGGTGTCCAACCTCCTACAAACCGACAGTTGTAAGATTCTGCTGTAAGCTGATGACCGGCTTTGGGCACTGCCTGCATCCTCAGAGGTCCGGCTGTTGAGATGCCATTCTGTGAGTTCCTCTGTCATGAGCTGATTGATGGCCAGTTCTTGTTCCTTTCCCCATGGAAAGCAGGTAAACTCAGGGTGGGTTTTTCCTTTCAGCCTTGTTACCCTGTAGGAACTGCACGCTGCTTCTGGGGCAGCCACAGCAGGGATGGCATCTTGCCACGTGTGTCAGCATTTCAGCAGGACTCGGGTACTGGCATCCTGGTGAATGTAATGGGGGCAGTAGAACAGAACTTAAGAGAAAGTTCTCACTCAGCTGAGCTCAGATTTTTTAAGAAGTGGAGAAGAAAAAACTTTTAATAGCAATGATTCTCCCTTCTGGGAAAGGAATCTCTCTTGCACTTTGCTTTGAACTGAAGTGTGGTACTTCCCACTGCATTGGGCTGCAGAACATTTCAGTGCCTGTTTTGAGCTTCTTCCATGCTTTCACAGAATCAGGCTTATTCAGTCTAGAATATAGTAGTTGCTTGAAAATGTTTTGGGGGGTAAGATAGAATTTTACTGAAAAAGCTTCCCTAAAAGGGAAGAGTACTGAAGGGAGTGTAGATAAGGCTTGTGTTTGCTCTGCTGTCTCTCTGCAGTCCTGCAAGGGTGAAGGTCTGCATGGAGGAGGTGGGATTGGGAGCAGGGTGCCAGCCCAGCTGTGGGCTGGGGACTCTGCTGCTCCTGCTCCACCAGTGCCAAACAAAGTCTCTCCCCACAGTTCAGTGAATGCATGTGTTCAGTGTGAAAATGATTTTCATCTTGGCCTTATGAAGTGTCTTCTGAAACAATGTTGTCAAATTAGCTTGTTGCTGTTAAAAATGAAGTATTTAGTGGTGGTAGTTTCTAATGTTCCTGGTGAATCAAGAGAAATAGCTCCCCTGTGCTCCTCGTTGCTTTTGTTTGGATTTTGGTGGGATTTTGGGTAACTACTTTCATCATTTTACCAGACAGATGGCTTCATTTTTGTTGTGTAGGAGTTTCTTGTGCCAGCCAGAGAAAGACTGAATGATATTTTAAATAGGAAAACAAAAAGAGTTGGCACAGGGTTCAGGGAGGAAGGAGTATGTTTTGAGTGCTCTCAGTTAATCTTAAATTTGCCTTCTTTCAATTAGCTGGCTTTTTTTATAATATGCAATTGTTAAAATTCATCTTAAACAACAACACAGGTCTTACAGAATACCATAGAGCAGTTTTCTTCCTGAAAAAAATACTCTAATGGATGGTCTCCAGAGGTGTTTCTAGGGAGTATCTGTAATATTTGGAGTTGAAGGCCAATCAAAATACACAATTACTGCTAGAATATTTTCCTTTTGAGGCCTGAGTGGGATGCCGTTAGCTAGTTAATTCTAGCTTCTCCTGCTGGTCCTCCCACAACTCCTGCCTTATCCCTAATACAATACAACCCTTTCCCTCAGTCAGAGCATCAGTGCTCTTTTTGATCTACCCTCTTAGGCACACAGCTTTCATGGTGCTTAGAAAGCTTTGGAAACAAGGAATTTTTTTGTTTTGTTTTGTTTTAAACCCAGACTTCAGCAGAAAACCAAAGTGAAATGGAGCCACTAGAGACTTAGTCCTGAAATTGTTCTGGGTAGTTAGTTTAATCTTGAGGTGAGATGTAGCTACCTGACTTCTACTTTCTGAACCAGGGGGCTGGTTTCAGGCTCCCTTAACAGTCCAAATCCAGTTACAGGAGAAGCAGAAAATCTCTGTTTTGAGATGTGGTCTGCGGGGTCAAAGAGGGAAATTTCTTTATGTACATTTAGAATGCTGAGATAGAAACACTGTCTTTAAAAACCTAACCAGCTTCCTTTACTCCTCTTTTGTGTTTTATTTCTACTGGGCATAAAACAGTGACAGTCCTGAGTCACATAATAGACACATAACTTTATACCCAGTTCTCAAGCTGGCCCTAAGACTGGCTTGATTTGTATGGATCTGGTTGTTTGTATTCTGTTGTAGAAGGATGCCCTTTGCCTGCTCCCTGTGTGAGGCTTTCGGAATGAAAAAAGACTTCAGGAGGTGGATGTTTGTGCCTGGCAGGGGTTGTAAGATAGAGAGCCATTACAGCCATTCCTTTCCTTTCTGTTTCCTTCCCAAGCTGGACACTCAGGACAGGGAAGGATTTTTGGTGCCCATCAGTCCAGAACTCTTTCAGCGGCAGCTGCAGCACTGCAGAATTGGAGCTGGGGGTTGTCTCCTCCTCCTCTCCGCCCCATTCCTCCTCCCAGCCTCGCGTTCAGGCTGCTCTGGGATGAGCTGTGCGAGCCCAGCTGGCTGCTCCCCTCACTGGTGCGTTGCTGCCCAGCAGGCCGGGACCGCAGGGGGCTTTTGGGGGAGTTGGTTTCAATGGCCACCCCGACTAGTGAGAAGCAAGGACTGCTCATATGGACAGCTCGCCTTTGTCTTGTGCAGAGTCGGCTTTGTAGTGGGATGTTGAAATATGACACGATGCCTGTTTGTTTGCAATAGCTGCAACCCTCGTAGCAGAGATTCAAGTGGGAAACAGAGAGGGAATCCAGAGACAAACCAGCGGGGGATTTAGGAACTGTGACGCCGTGTCCTCTCTCCTGTGCCGGAGCAAGCAAAGGAAAGAGAGGTAGAGGAAAAAAGACTGAGCCTTGCAACAGCCATCACCTGATGATGTGTCAGTCAAACACCCTGCAGGGACCAGATCTGCACACAGGGAAATGGTGAGATGCTATAAAGCTTTATCTAACCCTCCACCCTCTTGCTACAACCTCCACAAAGTTAAAATCCATGTCCGGAGGCTGCGTTCAGGGAACGGCGGCAGCAGCAGCTGTGCCGGGGACCAGCACCCACAGCTGGAGAGCCCAGGCCCGACTGGCTCTGCCGGTGGGACACCAAGTAGGAGAACTCGTTTCAGGTACTGTTCAGTGTTTTGTGCTTTGCAGGAATGGTGACTGAGGGGGAGGGAGGCCGGGAGGGTGTCTGGGCAGGAGGAGCGGGAGCCATCTGCGAAGCTTTTGTTTGGCCTAATTACTATAAAGCTCCTTATGCACTGCCGGCAGAGAAGGGCAGGCTGTTCCACGGCAAGGGGGTGAGGAGGCTTTCATTCCTTTCCTTTCTCCTCTCCATCACTAGGAGAATGGAAAAATTAGTTGAGGGGCCGCTCTGAAACCAGGCCAAGGCAGTGAGAAGCCCGAGGGCTCCGGAGCGATGCAGCTCTGCAGGGATTGGTCCAGGAGCGACTGCAGTGAAGGGGGGGAGAGCAGCAGGAGGGGGACCCAGCCCGGCTCCCGGCCCGCCAGCCCTGGCAGGCTGGGGGGAGTTAGGATGGGAGGAAGAATCTGAAGTGTCCCTTCCTATTCCCATGGCAGTCCCACCTCCTGCTGAGACGCGGCTTTAACTGTGCTGAGACAACACTTTGCTCAGGGCTCTTTTTACCCCTTGCATTGTGATGCACAGATCATTCTCTGTTTGTTATTTATTAATTCTTGGGGGGAAAGAAGTTGTGTTCACTGCAGAAAAAAATCTCTGAGCCAAAGGCACCATCTTGCATCCCAGAATGGTGACAGTCATGCCTGCCTGCATGGTATTTTAATTCTGGTCCAAGTTCTGGAAAGAACGAGTTGGCAAGAAAATCCTTTAAATTCTCAGCTTCTTTCCATCTTGGAAGGACGTAGGCACTATGTTTGTAGTTCACCCTTCATGTCACAGAATCCCTTGAGAGAGGGAGCTGTTGGGAGCAGCTAGGCCATCCCACTGGAGTTTGTGAGGGCACTGTGAGGGCACATCACCGTGTCCCGGCTGCAGGGGAACAGTCTACTAGCCAGGAGTTCAGTCAGTGCCAGGTTTGAATAGTTTGCCCTCAGGTGAGCAGACTTCCATTTGATAATGTGACCTTGGAAGTGCCAATGGTTTCTTCATGAGTAGCAGCCAAAGAATAAATGGAGACCTGAAGGGCCTTGCATCCAGACCTCCTGCAAGGGCCTGAGCTGAGGCCTGTGGTGGGCTCTAATAAGCTGAGTAGCTTCTCCCCCTGAGAGTTACAAGGTCAACTTCTCCCCATGGCCATTTGTGCAAAAGGAGACCCCTCTTAGGACATCTATGTGACAAAAAATCAGAGATGCAGTTGGTTGAGGCAGAGGAGTTGGTTATTGGGCTATGGAGACCAGATTGTCTTGCAGCAGTAGCAATATTGGCTTTGTCCATACGTTCCCTGTTCACAACCAGGGTCCTAAAGGAAGGTTTGTAAATTGTATTAACTTTCTCAGGAGTGCCACTCCTGTTGTTTCTCAAGTACTTGTTTCCTAAAGTTAGTGAGTGACCACCAGCTCTATAAATTTGACTCCAGCATCCCTTGGGATATAAAATACAATTTGAGGCACAGTCTAGTCAATACGCCTTCAATGCACAAATCCTCTGAGGGACCTCAGTTTATTACATTTCAGAGATTTCTTTCATCAAAGTATCTGTTCTTTCCATAAAATTGTCCCTTTGTGGAGTTGTTGAAGTCCCAGCATCACAGATTCCCAGCTTTCAGAATATTGTTTGCTGCCCACTTTGGCTATCCAACAGCTGGAGCAGTTGCAAGAAATGTTTTCTGGGGTTGTAATCTTCTGATATTTGGAAGAAGCACCTTTGTACTTTGTTATTTCCTTAAATTCTCATGTTATTATTTCGATGAACCACCTGTAACTTAGTTCTCAAATGCCATCTGCAAGTGGTCTTGCCTTTCATTTTTGAGGGTGTTATTCCTAAAATGTGACCTATGCAGTGAACACCATCTTTTGGATAGAGGATTTTTCTTCTTTTGGGTTTTTTTGATTTTTTTAGATAAACTGTTCGTCTGTTTTGGGAAGGCAAAGAAGTGATCAAAATAAAGTAGAGACTTGCAGAATCAATGTTTAAGTAACGTTTAGCAGGAATAAGTCGTGCCCAGCTACCAGGAGCTGGTGGCTCTGCAGCTGAGATGCCTGACCCTCTGCTGTTGTGTGTAATTTTTCAGGTTGCAATTCCCCCAGCTGGCCCTGAGGCGGAGGTTGGGCCAGCTGAGCTGTATGTCTAGGCCTGCTCTGAAACTCCGTTCTTGGCCTCTGACTATTCTCTATTACCTTCTGCCTTTCGGTGCCCTTAAACCCCTGACCAGAGTGGGATGGAGGCCCATGAGCAGGGTAAGTGTGAGCAGGTCTCTGCGCGTGGGGCTGAGCTGGGTGTGCTGCAGGCAGCACGTGGGGAGAATTCCTTCAGTTAGGGCAGGCTGGTGATGACTGGTGTGAAAGCAGAGATGCAATTCATGTTTCTGTTTAGTTCTTACTGTTCATAGGTGTGCTGACTAATTTCTTCACAGACAAGTGACTTTTTCAGTAGCAGAGAATTTGTCCTGTAACAGTCAGGGAAAATCAACAGAAACTTTTGAATGAATTCAGTCACCTCACAGGTTCAGGGCTAGGACAAGGCAGACCAAACCTCTTGGCAAGTTCCCTTTCCTGGCCATGTTGGAATGGTCTCTTGCTTTCTGTTATTTTTGCACAGGGAGGGTTTGTTCCTCAAGTTCCTTGAACATTTGTAATCCAGCCTGTTGAGATGATGTGCAGAGCTCTGCTGTGACACTGTTGAGAGCAGGGTGTGGGTGCCTTGCACATGGTTATTCTCCCCACAAATCATGCCATTTCAGAATGCAACAACCACACAAATATTTTGATTGAAAACTGCAACAAAATTGCCATTCTTAAGACTATTTCATTGAACAGCTGTTCTGTTTGATCCCATGAACTTGAAAACAAGGTTCTTTGGAAGAGAAGGGGTTATCAGGAAATAGCACTTTTGACAATTTGTGTGATTTTATAGTTCTATCTGCATGTTCTCCGTGTTGGTGGAAAACAGCAAAATTTATTTTAGAAATTAACACTGTATAAGGTCAGCTTATAAAACCCAAGGTACTGTTTATTTAGAAGGGTTTTATCTGAAGTAAGATTAGGTTGGTATTTTCCTTCTGAAATATCACTGTATGTACATGGGATGGTGATTTGTAAGTGAAATCTTAATTTGCTGTATTTTATATGATGGACAGGCTCTGAGTCAGTGTGTTCTGTCTGTGTTTATGGCTGTATTTTGCAAGACTTAATTATGAAGGATATGAGTAATATGAAGAATAAATGATGACTCTCACTAAGAAAAAAAGCCAACAACTTTTAGCTCAGCTGAATGTAGCTGAGCTGTACTGTTCTAAACACAGCACCAGAGTCAGCAGACCACCAGTTCTTTTCCAAAACTGGTTTCAGAGTGTTCAGTTCCTTTGGTCCACATCCTCCAGCCCCGCCCAATTACATCATGGCCATGTGAGTTTTTTGGCTGACAGGAAGTACCACAAACCCCAGAAGAGTTGTCTGCTGGAATTATCAACAAGAAGTTGCTGTCATCTGTCCACTTACATCAACAGCAGATACCTCTTGCCAAGTTCATTTCATTTGTTTTCCTTGCTACTAAAACTCAGGCTTATTATAAGTCCAAAGGTATATTTCTACAGAAATAAAGGCACTTAATACTCTTGCAATTAGCAACTCCCATTGTTGTGAGAGAAGGAGTAAGGCTGGTGTAAGTTTATGCCAGTGTAGCTGCGGCCATGTGGGTACATTTCTTCGATGGGACTGGTGTCATTGGAGCAGCACAACATACAGGACTGGGATGTGGGAAACACCCTCATAGGAAATGCATCTGAGGAGCAGGTCAGCAAACACTGGGACATTATTTTTCAGTCAGTTTGCATTTGGTTATTCACAAAAATTTGGTAATGTTAAACCTTTCTGATTAACGTTCTACTAGAATATGTGCGATGTCTCTTTTTTTCTCTAAGCCTCACATGGGCAGCTTCCAGTAACTTGAATGTGGAGCTTTAGCCTGCAGGGCAGTGGGAATTCTGTCTTCAGTGTAAGGTTATAGTAATTTTCCTGCTGTCCCTTCTCTGCCCTCCCCAGAATGGAGGCAGTGAGGATGAAGCGCAGTGTTCATTTTTGGCTGACCTGAAGGCCACTTGGTGCGTGGTGTAACCCACAGTTCAAGGGAGGGTTTGCAGGAAGTGTGATCCATTCTGTGGCGTGGGGAGAAGCCCTCGGTGACCTGGTGCCGTTCTTTCCTCAGGTTGCCCTGTACAAGTCGGTACCAACTCGGCTGCTCTCGCGGGCCTGGGGTCGCCTGAACCAGGTGGAGTTGCCCACGTGGCTCCGTAAGCCTGTGTACAGCCTGTACATCTGGACCTTCGGGGTGAACATGAAGGAGGCGGCTGTGGAGGATCTGCACCACTACAGGAACCTCAGCGAGTTCTTCCGCAGGAAGCTGAAGCCGCAAGCGCGGCCGGTGTGCGGCGTGCACAGCGTGGTGAGTGAGGGAGGGCTGTGCACAGCGTGGTGAGTGAGGGAGGGCTGGGGAGGGAGGGTTGTGCACAGCGTGGTGAGGGGAGGGAGGGCTGTGCACAGTGTGGTGAGTGAGGGAGGGCTGGGGAGTGAGGGGAGGGCTGTGCATGGCGTGGGGAGTGAGGAGAGGGCTCTGCACAGCTCTCTCTGCCAGCTCCCCTCACCCCCAGGGGAACAGCACTGCTTCAGGAGGAAGGAAGGAACTAATGTGTTTCATTTCTTTCCCCTCACTGTAGATTAGTCCCTCTGATGGAAAGATCCTGAATTTCGGGCAGGTAAAAAACTGTGAAGTGGAGCAAGTAAAAGGGGTCACTTATTCTCTGGAGTCTTTCTTGGGACCTCGTGTCTCGACAGAGGAACTGCATTTTAGTCAGGGTGAGTTCTGTGTCAGTTCTGTATTTATTCTGCTCTGCCCTTTTGGTGTTCTTGGAGATCATGAGAAAAGAAATCGCTTCTCCTCCCCTTTCTCTTTGTTGCATTGTCAGGAACAAAAGCAGGTCTGATTTCTGTTTTTTTTTGGTGGGGGGGATGAACATGTCACTGTTTTAGTTCTTCTCTTTCTCACCAGCGGTGTTATAGTGTTGTGCCAGACTCATTCTGATTATCTGAATTTAATTGCTTGGTTCCTACCCTTGACTCCAAGTTCTGTTACTGTGCTGATGCTGGAGCACTCCTGCTGTCACACTGAAACAGGCCCAAGCACCTGGACACCAAAAACTCTATAAGCTCCCCCTTAAAAAGATTTATGCTCAAGCACTGACCCTCTAATGACTGACTGGTGCTATTACTGCTCTGCTTCACCCACACTGAGGGAAGAGTATCTTTAACCCCTTCCTTTCCCTGCTTTCTCTGCAGCCCCACCTGGTAACTCTTTTCAGCAACAACTGGTCACCAAGGAGGGGAATGAGTTGTACCACTGTGTGATCTACCTTGCTCCAGGGGACTATCACTGCTTCCACTCGCCCACCGACTGGACAGTGTCGCACCGACGGCATTTCCCAGGTTGGTTTCTGTTCCTGGGAAGCAGCTCTGGAGGGAAGCACTGGTATGGCCACTGCTGAATGACACAGCAGTTGTGCAGACATATGATAGATAATGGCAGCAAAGTGATTTGTCACAAATCACTGATGAGTGTTACAGCAGTGTGCTTTACCAGGACAAGTCACATATAAATGGAGCAAACAGTAATATTGTGTTCAAGGTCTTTGAGTTCTTTGAAGTACCTGACCTGATTCGTTCCCAAACACTGTTTCTTCAGTTTGCACCTGAAATACAGACAGTTCTGCAGATCACACCAGATCTCTGCTTGTGCTTGGCAAAGAAAATGCAACTAAACAGTTGCACTGCTGGAGCTGGGATTGGAGGTTTTTCAGACCATCATACTCTAGTTAAGCAGATAAAAATATTTTATGTCTTGGTATGTGGCAAAAACCTAAGTATTTGGATTGGGTTTCAAACACCCTGAGAGAGACATGACCTGCCACACACATCCTTCTGTGACCCTTTGTTTTCACCACAGCCTTCTCTTTCATTCACTCTGCCAAGCATTTGCCTCTCTTCCTACAAACAAGTGACAGTTGTTTACTGGATCAGCTACAGTTGTCCTGAAAACACCATTTGGGTGGCATTACAGCACTGCTACAAACCAGACAACCTAACCTGAATATTTTCTCACTTCTCCAGGCTCTCTGATGTCTGTGAATCCCGGAGTTGCTCGCTGGATCAAGGAGCTGTTCTGTCACAACGAGCGGGTTGTCCTTACAGGTGACTGGAAGCACGGCTTCTTCTCACTGACAGCTGTGGGAGCAACAAACGTGGGCTCCATCCGCATCTACTTCGACCAGGTGAGCAGGGCTGTAGCAGCAGCTTTCTGGGTTGGATGGTTGAGGTTGGCACAGCATAACAATTACAAAAAAAAATAAACCCTGAAATTAGGGTGGTTCTGGTATTGATGTTCTAAGACTGATTTAAACATCATCACCAGTATAGACTATTTTTTAATATTTCTATTGCACCTTTGAATTGTGAGTTCTTGCATTGAAAATGCTTGAGCATGTACAGTCTGCAGCTGTGGTAATGAACACTGAAATCCTCAAGTAACAGTTTCTTCCTTCTCTGTACAGGACTTGCACACCAACAGTCCAAGTTACTCTAAAGGTTCCTACAATGACTTCAGCTTCATATCCAACAACAACAAGGAGGGAATCCCCATGAGGAAAGGGGAACATTTAGGGGAATTTAATTTAGGCTCCACAATTGTCCTAATCTTTGAGGCACCCAAGGACTTCAAATTCAACCTCAAAGCCGGACAGAAAATCCGCTTTGGAGAAGCGCTGGGCTCTCTATAGAAACTGTCTCAGCAAGAAGATTTTCTATACAAAGGGACTCTTTTCACACCACTGTTTCACTTTACCAAGTCCTTATCACTCAGCAGGACCTGGGTGAGCAGAAGAGAAGATGTCATTGCTGTGTTAACCTTGGGAGCATTTGCTCTACATTTACCTGCTGCTGAATGTAGAAACTGAGTTGAGTGATCATGGATGTATCAGGTACAGCTGCCTTTAAAGATGTTGCCCATGGAGGTTTCTGTCCCAGCCTGTGCCTGTGCTGTTTCATGTTCTCCCCTCAATGTGCCACAGGATAATTATGTTCTTAAGTCCCTTTTAAGCCTTCTGAGGCTGTGCAGGTGCACTGGGGAGGGGTGGAGATTACCTGTGTTTAAAGGGACACTGACAGGCTCAGTCTCAGACCTTGTACTTTATAGCTGCAATATTTGTTTTTCAGACCTTGAGTAAAGAATATGTCCTCATATTTATTTTGTTCTAAGAAACTCTGCTGAAATTGTCAAATAAAGACAGCCTGTGAATGCACACAGAGCCAAACAGTGAGACTGGCTGGTGTGGCTTCACAGCCCAAACTAAGCAACACGTGCAACAGAGCATCAGTAGAAAGAATTACACTCAGCCAGGCTTTCTGCTGTTGAACTGGACAACTCCAGTTCTGTTGCCTGACATTGTCCCTTTAAAAATGGACTTTGCACTGTATTTTAAACCTGAAAACACTGTGTCTACATTCCAGACAACAGCTCTTGTCATCTTGGGATTTTCTTTTAAAAACAAACAAAAAAAACCCCAGACAGAGGTGTGTGTACTATTCCTAATCCATGGGTTTATTTTGCTACTCCAGGCCTTAAAGTTTTTGTCTGTATGAGAGACAGTTACTTCACCTCTTGGATTATGGAGTTAGAAGACACAGGGAATGTTTTTCTTATGTGATGTGATAGCAACTAAAATATGCTTTACTTTCTACTATGTATCTTCATTATTGCTTTGTCACTAAATTATTGAAGAATTAATTTCTCTATTACAGAACAGCTTCAGATACTTCAGGACCAGTTTTTATTGCTCAGAGTGAAATGCCCTATGCACTGACTGTGTTTAAAAACATTATGGCTCTTTGAAGAAATCCCACGTTGCCTCCCAGGTGCCAACCTGGCCCTCCCTTGACTGGCAACAATTTCATCTTATTCAAAATATAAAAAAACCTCACACTGGCTCTAACTTCTGCCCTCATACTTAAAGCTAGGAACGTGCTGGGGACTGAAAGCTCTGTGCTGAAGCTTCATCCACAGTAAAATTTTAGAGTTCACGTCAAGAAGAGTTAAAATCTCACACCTTGGATCTGTTGCAGGTGGCACTATGTGGTGCTGACAGAAACCGCTGCCAAAGTGAAGAGGAATTGAGTTTTAAAGCAATGTATCAGTTGTTTTTAGAGAATAAACTGTTTCAAGTCCCAGCACTCAAACATTTAGAACTGATTGTGCTGTCCAGAGCTTGTTGGAGTGGACACGCTTATGAAACCTGCCTTTCTGCTTTCTGAAAGATTTCTCATATTACTTCCTTGCTTGAGCTACTTTTCTGCTACTTCAAGGAGACAGGCTTTGACCAGCTCTGATCTCCTAAAGAAACCCTTATCTTCTTTGTATGCACTGCAGAAAATAGAATATAATTTTGTTGTACAAATGTCCAGTTTGCCAAGTCCTGTATGCTTAGCTTGTCATCAGGGAGGAAGGGATGATGAACTGCCTCTAAGTGACGTAGCCCAGCCCTGGGTCAGGGGATGGTGGTGGCTGTTTGGGTGACAAGCAGGAGAAAATTCATTTGGCTCCAGGAGTCAGTGTTTCCTCACTTCACACAGGGAGGAGTTTGAAAGCTTGAAGTGGCTCTCAGCCACCTATCTTGTTAAACTTCTTGGCATTAGCAAGTTTACTCCTGCAGCAGTATAGTACCAGATGCAAGGGTTTTTTTTAAACCTTTGAGAGTGAAAAAAAAGTAAGTCAAATATCAACCCCAAGAGGATAAAGTTATGGTGAGATTTTTGATTAAACTTCAATGTTGTGTTAACAGTAGAAAGCAAATTTGTTCCAATGGATGAGAAAAAAAGACAAGTGAATCTTTTCCCCCTTTTCCCCTGGGGCCTTTGGCACCCAGACACAGCCAAAGGAAGTTTAAGCTTTAATTTCTTCCTACTCAGCATCATCATCCACAGTATCTGAAGGTTACTGTTAGCCTGTGATGGAGGACGGGTTACTTGATGTTTGCTTTATTAGAAAGCTCAGAAGGAGGAGAGGATCCAGCAAGTGGCTGTTTTTAAGATGGTTTTAATACTGTGCAGAGCGAGCTAATAACTCAACATTGCTTGTGATGCAGGGCCAGCAACACACCCAGAACTGAAAGCAAAGTTCCTCGAGGGTACTGATAATGCTGTGAATTTCTCCTGCCTGGAGAATCCATTTAATTCAACTGTATCAGTAGCACGGTATTTTTGTATGTCAAAGTGTATGACTTACTGACATGAACTCATTTAATTGCAAACATTTTGAAATAAAGAGTCTTATCTGTGTTGCTTATCTTTCTGGCAGGGTACCCTAAACTAGGTATTGCAAGTGCAGCATGAGGTAGGTGTAGCTCCAGTGTGGTTTTTAATCAGCTTTTGTAACAACAAAACAAGCAAAAACATTTTCACTTAATTTATCAAATATAAATGCTGTACATAGAACTAAGTGAATGTACACATCTCTTCCATCCTCCCCTGCTATCAAAGGGGCAAAAAGTCCTACCCCTGAGCTGGAAAGTTGGATCAGAGGCATTACAGATCCAGGGCAAGCTGGATCTCCCGCAGGCGGGCGAGCAGGCTCTGCACACGCTGTCTGTCCGTCAGCTGGGCTGCGCTCAGGGTGTTGATCCTCCCCTGCAGCTGCAAGGGAAGGCAGGAGCATGAGCTGTTTGTACAGCAAGGCAGCGTTCAGTCCTTCTCACAGCAAGAGCTGCTCTAGGATTTTTCTTCTTTTGTGTTATCCCACTTAGAAGCAGTTAAGGGACAGGATGTGTCCCTTGGGAACAGCTCAGTGCTGGCTGTGGATTCGGAGGTACCAGAGCAGTCCCACAGCTGGTGTATGAACCTGGGGACTCGGAGCAGTGCAGGTGCAGGCTGCACACAGGGAAACTGTCTTGAGAGACTGCAGACAAAATTTCGAGATGGAATCTACTAAAGTCCGATCTGTAGCTTGGAAATAGCCTCAGAGAGGTCTGTTGGAACTGGAGTTGCATTTCTGAACAAACAGGAAGAAGCATCTCCAGAGCCTGTTCTCATCAGCCCACTTCTGCCCACAAGTTTCCCTTCCCTTGGCATTGTACCAACACCTTAGTACACAGCTGTTCTTCACAGCTGCCATCAGCCTTTAGGCTGAGTGCAGAGCATAGTGATAATCACTTCTGGAGCTTCAGTTTGGTTTGTACACACCTGACCCAGCTCTTCCTGAACTCCTTGCACACCAGCTCGGGCTCCTGGTCCTGAGCTCAATTCCAGCCACTGCTGCAGAATTTGTGCCTGCTGCTGACAGGACCTGATAAAATGGATTAGAAGGATTCTTACTCCAATTAAGAGCTCAACAGTCTAAGCCAACTTAGACTTGCAATTGATACTTGCAATAACACCCAATTTTTTGTCTCAAGCCTGTGAACAGTTAAAATCTTTTAAAAAAGTGAAAAGAAAAAAGGATGCTGGGAAGTAGAGGAATCTGAAAACTGTTGTCTCCATCTCCTAGTCACTGACCTCCTCCTTTCCTGACAGTTAAATCCCCTCCAAGCCTCATTTTCTTTTTGAGCAATTTTGTAAATGTTTTCTTGTTCTAGTGGTATTCTATCAAATACCAGCCATATTTATTTTTTTAATTGACAGTTGGAAAAGCTCAGTCTTCATTCCTCTTGATAAAAGATCTAAAAGCTAATTTCAGCTGCTCTGCCCAATTAATTTATCCTGTCTTCAGATTACACCATGATACCTCTGACTTGCTTCTCCAAGAGCTGCCAAAGGTATAATTAAACCACTTGCTGACTACAGAAGAAGTTAGGCACATACTCCCTTTCACCTGGACTGAACTCAAAAGGAGAAAATAAAAATCTCTCGAACTTTTCTCTGTTCCATTCACAGTTCTACTGTGAACAGACTATTTTCAGGGTAGATGCATACAAATAGTGCAGCATTGAGTTGACAACACAAAGAAAGGCTGGCTAAAGGGCCTTTGAACATACTTGAGCTCCAGCTTCCTGCTGTAGTAGTACTGCATCTGCTGCTGGATGTGTCGGAGTTCAACCTCCACCTTTCTCTGCAACACCATTTCTTCTCTGGAACTGTGCTCCCTCTCTTCCCCTTCAGCTGAATGGAAGATACAAGGCACAAGCAATGCAAGTAGAACAGACATCCACTGTTTCTTCTTACCAAAGACACAGGAAACATTTTGAATAGACAGGAAAAATTGAACCCTCCTGAGTTCTTCTCGCATGGTTTGTTACCCTGTGACATGTACCTGTTCACCCAAAAGGTCAGGTACAGTGAGAGAGCAGTACAAGCTTTGAAGGCTCAGTTTGAATACACACCAGATAAGAAATGCTCTAGTGACTGGTTTAGTACTACAAACACTGTTTTGGCCTATTCGGGATTTAGTAGTTTATATCTAGTCTAGAATTAATTAGGTAGTTAAAGTCTAATCCTGCAGAACAGAAATTTCGTGCCCTCATATCATTAAAAACACCCCAGTGAGAGGTGCTTGGACACCATCTGCCCCCTTTACACCCACACTGTGAGTACAGGGAGCTCTCAGAGAGCCTTACTGGGTGAACTCTTCCCTCCTGAAGCAAATTCTGCCCCAGCACCTGAGCACATTCTTGCTAAAAGAAGCCAACCCTAAGCAGTTACCCCCCTTCTATCCCTAGAACAGGGCTTTAGCCCCCAGATTCAGCAGAATCCACACCACTGTATTACCATCCCAAAAAGGAACACTGGTACCCTTTTCCTCCTGTTGCTGGCATACAAGACTGCTTTGTCTCCTGTCCATTTGGGGGAGTTCACTTGGAGTCTTGTATAGATTAGAGAGGAGGATGTACAGTTGCTACAGTTCAGATCTGAGGACCTACCTGCAGTTTGGTGACTCCACTGTCCCACCAAGTCTTCAGGTGACAGCACATGTGGCTGCAAATTTGGTCGCAACTTCCCCACTGAGTTCTGTTGGGACTCTCGGGAATGGGCTCCTTTGTGACCTCCCCCAGGCTGATCTTCTCTCTACAAGGTCAGAAGGATACTGGGTTTTTCCTCAAAGGGTTTTCTTGACTAAGCCCTACAAGTAGGATGCCCCTGACCTACTCCCACTCAGACAACCCCTGTAGTCACTCAGCCCCTCTCATACAGTGCCACAGAAGAAGTAGAGTTTAAAAAGTGGGCTCTTTGATTTCTAGCATAGAGACATTACATCACTATTAACCCTCCCATTCTGTGTGGAACAAGGGAGTTTAAAATGCAAGCACTGAGTTGCAGGTAAAGTGAATTCCAATTTTTTGAGCCTCTCAGACACAGCCTCTGCTCCTAAACTGAGTTATTCTTAAGTCCCTGTAAATCTGGATGGCAAACTGTAACGGCTCTGAGCTCTGAAGGGGCAGCCCCTCAAGTCAGTTGCCAGGAAAAGATCTGGGTAGGAAGACCACTGGGAAAAAAGGCCTGAATTACAGTGCAACACACGTGGATTGCTTCAGACTGGGGGTACGCAGTTCTTTGGTATTCAGAGGCAGTGCATTTGGTCAGCTTTAAACATGACAGCTCGAACAAGAACAGCTCAACATCCAGCTGGGCAGCTCAGAAGAGCCACAGGAAAACACAGCAACAAGCAACAAGCTGCTGACAGCAGCCCAGTGCACACACCGACTGTTCCTTCAGCAGTGCACTCACCTTCTCTGATCCAGCTTTCATTTGGGGCATGAAAGAGGCCGGAGACCAGAGCTCTGGGCCCTGCCCAGCACGGGGCACATCTGCTGTCCACAGTGGGGGAGAGGAGGGAGCAGCACGTGGGAGAAAGGGAACAGGACGGGAATGAGCAGCACTGCCTGTCTGAGACAGACATTTACAGGTGCTTTCCTCCAGGTGAGGTGTCTGCAGTAAGTTCCCAGTCTGTGCAGAACATTTATTCACAGATGTTTGCTGAAAGGGCACCTCTGACCTGTAAAAGAAGAAGGATGAGGTCACTATACAATGCAACCTGTTGGTCTTGTCCTTTGCAGTCAGTGGAAAAAAAGGGAGAATCTTGTCATTCCCTTGCATACAGCTCCCCAGTCAGCTGCCTCACTATGTCCACTGTAAGTCACCCTCTTTTCTTTACTTTTAAAGATAGATTCTCTACCTAGCAAAAGGAGGTCCCAGGAGTTCCTTGCTTTCTAGAGATTCCAGAAGGAAGTCAGGCCTCTGTGGTGGTAACCTGGCTCGTTGAATAGCATTTCTGAAAAGAAAAACAGAATAATGCCCCAGATTCAGGATTATTTTAAATTGGCATAAGCTGGTATTGCAGCTAAAGAAACAGTCCTGTTTCATCATTCATCCCTGCTCTGCAACATTCCCTTTGCATGCCATAGTAATTCCTACAGACTAAATTTCCACCTGTATTAATGTGACAATCTGGTTCACCATGTGAATGGTTGTGCCAACACAGGGAGTGGTGGAAGGGACACAACTAAACAGGGCAGAAACACTTCTTTTGGCAGCACATACAAGCTTAAAGCAATGTGAAATTATCACATTATTTCCCTGTAGGGCTCCTGTCCTGGACTGAGAAGCTTCATGGAAGATTATTACTTGCAATTGCCCCGTGATCAGTAGGAGTTTTTTTAAGGAAAAGCTTCCCCAGGGAAAAGAAAGGGGCAAGATGAAACTTAAGCTTCTGCATAGCCAGGATCTTGATGTTTATGATTTCATCAGAGCTTATACATGACTTCAGTGAAAAAAAAAAGAGCTCCAGTGACAGCTCTAGGTGACTTGGGCAAGTTAAGCAATCCTGATGGCCAAAGGCCCACAACAGATATCTTTCAAATGTTCCCCTGTGTAACTGTTCCTATGACAAACGGCCAACACTCCATGAATAGCTGAGCTGATTCTACCTGTTGCTGATATGCAAATACAAAGTCACAAATTCCTTCATTATGTGTGGGCTGATGTTTGCATTTCACAGCAGCTCCTGTGTAATTGCACCACCAGTCATATGATGCAGGGTCAGAGAAAGAGTTAAGGAGAGTGCATGAAACTAAGCCATCAGTCTGAAAACTTGTAAACACAAAAATGAGACACACTTAGATGGACCACATGTATGCAAAGCTACAGATATGCCAGAGAAATGGGGGAGGAACTAGAAGTTTACACTCACAGATCACTGAGAACTGAGCCCCCATCAGCAGGGTGCAGTGGTAGATGTCTGCATTTTGAAGGCCATGGCTCTTCCTCTGCTGAATGTCCTCTTGTCTCAGGACTAACATCAGGCCTCCTAAATGTCACCTGCTTCTTCAGAGGTGGCAGAAAAGAAAAAGGTTTATG